GTTATAACATAATGATTATCCTAATTATATTTTAGATTTTTTATATTTAAAATAAAATATTCATCCTGTATTTGATTATATTTATCTGCACTTAGTTACACGAATTCAAAATGAAACTTTAATAAGTTGTACTTATGCACAATTTACTTGTAATCGTGAATTTAAGTGATATGCATCAATAAACATTATTTCATGTATAAAAAATGATTTTTAAAATTCTTTATCAAATGTTTTATAATAAAATATAGATTAAATAATTGTTTTGATAGTACAGTTTTGTAATAATATTTAATGCATTAATTATTTATATATTTTCTATGCATAAAACATTTACAAGTCAACCATGACCGACTCGTTTTGGCTTATATTTATATCGTCCATTATCAACCCTGACAAATTGATGAATCATCGAAAGTCCATACAAGTTTAATATCCGTTATTTTCCATTTGTACTCGAGCATTTGAATATTAACATGTGGAAATAAAACGATATTAAATGACGAGGTAGGGTTCCAATGCCCAAATTGTCAACTATCTAAAAGATTCATATTTGTAGATTGGGGTCATAATGTCGTTGGCCCCGGTGACATCACACGTAGAATAGCTTGGTTTTCACGCTTGATTTGAATACTTCCATCGTCAATTCATAAAATTTCTAATTATACAACTTAATGTAATATTTAGTTAATAATTTAAAATTAAAAATACCATTTTGAAGATGAAAATAAATATAAAAGTATAAAACAAAACCGATATCGTCAATATTTTTCTACTGATTATTAACTCGTGTAAATAAATCTTAAATAAAAAATTGTATTTTTCGAATACAAGAAACAACGATAAATTTAATGGGAAAAAGATGAATTTAACAAAAATGAGTTTTTTTAGGAGATCATTTGTTTTAACGGACGGGCTATTGGCTAAATATTAAGGTGACGTTTAGTTCACAAAAAAATGAATCTGTTCAGAATTGGACTGTATCAAAGGGGCTGGAATGAAATTTAATTAGGTTTGACTATGTGTTTGGTTGACAAGAATTTGAATATGTGTGTTGGTTCACTGAATAGGGTGTAGACAGTAATGGTGGTGGCAATGATGGTAGTAGTGGCGGTGTGGATGACTATGGTGACGGTGATGGTGGTGGTGGCGACAACCATTGTGTTGGGATGGAGTGTAATAGTTTCTTGTTTTAAAGATGAGATAAATGAATTGTAATTTCCAGATTCACTTACCTTATCGGGCTACATTTTAGATCATCAAAATGGATTGTTGGTAAACACCTCTCATCAAATAATCACAAACCGGGTAAGAGTCATCTCCTTTACTTACCAGAGTATATTATCAGTCCTTTCTAGAGATGCACAATGCTCAGGGCCTTCTAAGCACGTTTTCAGTGACCAAAAAATGTTTGGGGATTCGAGGTTGAAAAAGGGCCCAATTGGGGGTTTTTCAGACCCATTTTTATTTTAGGGTTTAATCGAACTTTTTTAGGCTTTTTTAGCTTAGGCATGGGGCTTCGGGCTCGAGATTTTTTGTGCATCTCTAGTCCTTGTCATACTAACCCGATAAAAGCAAAGGGGTAAGCACTCATCCGCAAGAGCATCATTCTCATTTATCTTATAGGGTAACATTTTCGACCATCAAAATGAATTATTGGTAAGCAACTTTTTTTACCAGTATATGTTTACTGGATAAAAATCTTCTCCTTCACTTACTTTGTAATAGTCTTGGTCTTTGTTACGGCTCTTATTAGATAAGATTTCAGGTCATTGTCATGTTCTCCTAGAAGGTAAATGACACTTTATCCAGTAAGCGTTTGGTAAACGACACCTATCGATATTATATTTATTATTAATTTTGTTAAAATGTTTTTTTTATACATTAAAAATGAAAACGAGTATTTTGATGGTTAAAAAAATGAAGAAATATTCGAGCTTATCTTTGATAATCGTGGTATTGTTGGGGGAGGAATAAATCGTAAAGAGAAAAAGGTCGACTGCTCCCAAGTCAGACTTTCGTCTTCTTCGTCATAATAAAGGTAGCTGCAGACTTCTAGAGGCTGCAAATCTTTCCTCCTACCCACAAAATCTACGCACAGATCGGCAGACCCATCGGAAAACTTATAAACCATGTCTGGTGGTATTGCTCGTGGCCGTCTCACCGAGGAACGAAAAGCATGGCGAAAGAATCATCCCCATGTTCGTTTTCTACCCCTTTCTCTTTCTAATCCTTATGTGTGTGTATATGTATATGTATCTTGTATTTGCATAACCTGGATGTATGATTAGGTGTAATTGCTGATGATTTTTGGGATTTGGGTTTGATTTTATTTTATTAACTAGGGTTTTGTTGCGAAGCCTGAGACTCTTCCTGATGGTTCAGTGAATTTGATGATTTGGCAGTGTACCATCCCCGGTAAGGCTGGGGTAAGTTCTCGGCATGTCTCATTCTTTGATTTGTTTTTTGTTGATCAGAGAAATTATGTTGATTATGCCTCTCATGGGACCGGAAGTCTGGAAATCAGTTGTTATCTCTTATTGGTTGTTATGATCTATGAATCTCCATGTTATTTCAGTTTGCTGGTCTGTAGTAGAAATTGCTTAATGTTTATGCCAACTTGGCTCAAGTAATCTGTGTGAATTTTATGAAATGTTTATGCCTTTTTAGACTTAATTCTTAGTTTCTGGCTTGCATGTGCTACTATGTGTATGTATTTGGTGAGTGAGAGAGTATTACTTCAAGATTTGTGAGGTTGTAAATCTTATCGTTTGATGATATGATCACATAGATTGATGATTGCTTGTAGTACTTTGAGAAATCTGTTGCTGCTTGCAGGCTACTAAATTTCACAATATTCACTAATCTTTTTCGATTTAGATTAGAAGTAGTTATTTTGATGGTAACTTGGTCTGTTCATATTATCTATTGTTTCTGACGTTCCTGGACCCTGGTTTATGAGTCTACAGCCTCCAATTATCTATCTTGATCCATGATGCTATATTCAAAACTATGGATCCCATGAGGGTTAGTGGATGTGAAATTTGTTTAAGACTATTAAATCACAGAATGGTCATATGTTGCGTATCTTTGTTTTTTATAACGAGACCTTTCTTGCATTTGCTCATGAAAATTCTTGTCAGCATTTAAGCGTTGGAATCTGTATATTAATGGAAAGAGTGGTGAAAATGAGAGAAAGAAATAGTTTATTGTAGAAAAATATTTGAACCCAGTTTTCAAGTTTGAAGGTAACATGAGTAGGGGGGCGAATAGGTAGATACTGAACGTCATTTTATGTGCCTATGAAGCTGCAGGATGTTTGGGTTTAATCGTATTGGTGAATTTTCTCCCAACCATGGCTTGAACTTTAGCAACTCTTTCTATCAGTTTTTTTCTATCTAGATCATTCTCGAGGTAATTTTGTTGTCTTCGTGCAACTCCCATTGGCTCGAAGTTAGTTCAGTGCATTTAGTTTTTCTGCAATACACAATGGTATAGTCTAAAGTTTTCATAAGAATATTGCAATAAGAAATCATATGGGGGGAGGATAACAAGGCTCTCATATTACTTCGATGTTGCTTGAGAAGTTGAGATAAAAAACTGTGGCATTAAGCCTAAGACAATGATTCTAAGATATCATATTTAATAATAAAAATATATTGAATTGATTTCAATATTTAAGTTATTGGATGAAAGAACAATTATATTCATTCTAAAAGCATTGATGGCTGGGACCACAAAATTCAAGCTTCGTTGCTTTGTGGTAAAGCAATCATTGTCGAACCATCATGGTAAAGTAATCATTGCTGAAATATTAGTGAAGGTCGCTGACATGTATTGGCTGTATGCAATCATGATGGATGGTTGTGCTATACAACTACTTAGCAAATAGGTATGACGTTCTGTAATAGTTTTATACATGGTGAAAGTCGGGACTTTTATTAGAGAATGTAATAGATTCTAAGCAGGATTTTGTTCTTTTTAATGGATATCAGGTTAATACGTACGTCACCACTTTATGGTAAAAGAATCATATTCCGAGAGTTAAATTATACTAGTTTGAGCAATTAAGCGGGAATGATATGGTTGTGTTAACAATTAAAGAAAGAATTTTAAAGGGCAATAAATGGGAAATTGATAAATCTTTGACTTGTTGATTAAAACAATGTTAAAAAGATACCAAAGGGCCTTTGGCCTAGCGGTATGTGAGTCCTTGGCCTTCTAGGAGGTCAAGGGTTCAAACCTCACCAAAGGTGAGGAGGGTGTGTGAGTTTATTTGTTCTATTTGCCGTATATAAATATTATATACTTAAAAAAAAAACAATGTTAAAAAGATTATATGACAAATAAGCTAAGTTGAAAGTCGGTGGTAATGACGTAATCTGGGGAGAAATATGGTTTCCATGAGCACCGAAGGCAAGATTTAAGATAAGATATGTGAATAGGGTTATGACCTTTGAAAGTAAAATGATTCTATAAGCAGAAAATATGTAAAACAGTGAAAGTTGTAGTCTTAATACAACCAGAGAGTAGGGGGATTATGGTAACCTCAATAAGTGAAAAAGGGACGATAAGAATTTTAATTTTGTATTTGATGATAGCACTAGTGATGATAAAAAAGGGGGCCTTAAACGGTCCTAAGATCGGTTATAACCAGTCCTGAGCTATCTCCTAGTGTGGTAACTGGTTAAGTTGGTCGCTGTTGTGGTCCCCATCCTCGGGCAATAATGAATAACTGGTAACCTTTAACAATCGTCAGAACTTCAAGTTACACAAATTTGGGTCAATGTTATTTTCTACTTTCAATTCCTAATATTGTACCAAACTAATCCCATTGGTTCTTAGCTACTTAAATGACCCAGATCTCATAAATAAACCCACTATCTTAAAAAAATCTCTGAAGCATTGATTTCACCCAATTTTGATTGTTTTATATTTAGATTTTGATTAATAACACATCTTTATCCATATATGACACTTAGCAATAGATGCTCAAAAGATGTTTTTCGTGTACAAGGGAGGAAAAGGAGAGGAGACGTAGAAGTGTTTTTAGGGTTTCATTTATTAACAATCTGAAATTCCCCAACCACACCTCAGAATTGGTTTTGGAATACATCGCCTCGAGGCATACGCCTCAACCGTTTATAAAACCATGGATATATTTTTTCATTTTGTTGATAAACCATGTTGTGTTATAATTGTAGTGAAGAAATCTTCTTGGCTTGTTTTAGAAAATTTCTTTCACTATGAATCTATGATTTTGTGGGCGTTTATTATAGCTTGCCGTTGCAGACTGACTGGGAGGGCGGCTATTACCCCCTCACCCTCCACTTCACCGAGGATTATCCAAGCAAACCACCGAAGTGCAAATTTCCTCAGGGGTTCTTCCATCCCAACGTTTACCCTTCCGGAACTGTTTGTTTGTCGATCCTTAATGAAGACAGTGTAAATGCTCACATCTCCTTACTAAGATATCACATGTAAATATCCATTTTTCTATTATAAACTATATGTATGTGTTGCTCTAGGGTTGGAGGCCAGCAATAACGGTTAAACAAATTCTAGTGGGCATCCAGGACCTGTTGGACTCTCCCAACCCTGCTGATCCTGCTCAGACCGATGGATATCACCTCTTTATCCAGGTATTCATGCTATTTTATCTGGTATACTTGTTAATATTCCGAGTTATATGTGCATAAGCCGGGAAGTTGGGAATAGAGATGCACAAGGCCCGGGTCTTCTAAGCCCGTTTTCAGTAAACCAAAAAAAGCCCAGGATTTTTTGGGCCGGGCAGGCTTTGGGGGTCGAGAGATGGTGTGGTCGAGCTTTTTTCGGCTTTCCAGGCTGGGCTTTAACCAGGCCCTGAAAAAAACGTTGGGCTTACTCCCTCCATGATGAGAAAGGCACATGGTTTTAAAAACTTGTAACTGTTACACTTTTTAATCAGTTAAATGACGATTTTACCCTTAATAATATAGGGAGTAACGAATTTCTCCATCTCATAATTAAGGTTAGAATTGGAAAAAGGACACTTACTTTTGAAAGTGGACGCTTATTTTGGGACAAACTAAAATAGAAATGTGGACACTTCTTTTTGGACGGAGGAGTATAATGCTTTCCTCCGTCCTGCATAGTTCATTGCAGAAAAGCATGGACCTGTGCTTCATCTTCATTTCTCCTCGCATCGAGTAAATGGGACCCACGATGACATTCATTCTCATAACAACGTATAAATGAGACCCACAAAACGAAAATGGTATAAACAAATGGTCAAGTTAGGGTTTTGGTCCGAGTAAGCGCTGACTGACTAAGAGGGGTTTTCCTTCCTTACCGAGTAAGCATCATTTGTCAGTCAGGGTGTATGGTAAACAACCTCGCCTCTTACCGGCGTCTCATTCCCAGTAAGAGACTGTCAGTAACTATTCCCGTTTGGTTTGTAGGATTGGATTTGGAGGGAATTGGTATTGAATTCCATTCCAATTCCATGTTTGATCTGAAAGATGTCCTGGATATGAAATCCCACAAACATAGGATTTTGAAATCCATGGGGATGGTTGGTATTTCACTGGATTTCGTAGGATTTGTATGTAATAATGTTCTAAAATCTGTTAAAAACATTTGTTTTGTAATACTCAATAATTCCATCAAACCAAACACCCCCTGGCACGAAATCCAAACACCTTCCTAATCCAAATCCCTTAAAATCATTCCATCAAACCAAACGCCCACTTGGTGTTGTCTTAATTCTGATTCACGCAAATATGTGTGCAGGATACGGTGGAATACAAGAGAAGAGTCCGTCAGCAAGCCAAGCAGTATCCGCCTCTCGTTTAGAAGCAAACCACGGTTTGCTATATCATTTGGTTTAATTTCGTGTAGGCCATCTCAATGGATCGTTTGATGATTTTCTTTGACTCTTGGATTTAACTTATTTGGGAACCAAAAAAAAAACAAGATTAATCAGCTGATGGATGAAAGATGTTAGTTGATGATTTCTTGCCAATAGAGATGGCAAAAACCTTTGTTTTATCTGGTGTGGTTCTTCAGGTTCCTGTGGTTATATATATATATATATATATATATGAAATGAAAACACAATCCTGCAACACTACTTTTGGGGTGAGGATTTCCTTAATAATGCAACTGCAATTTAGTCATTGGATGCATTTTTTGTTTATGAACTTATGGCTGATCTATTATAAATCTTCTATATAAATGGTCATTATATGTTAAATTTGTGTGCCAAAATAAGTGTTCATGATAGAAATGCTTATGGTTTTAGAAATTTGTAATTATTATACTTTTTAATTAAATAAAGAGCAAATTATGTTCTTTGTCCTTGTGGTTTGTTAAAAATTTGCAGATTTTGTCCTCGTTGTTTTAAATTTTTGGTTTTCATTTCTATGGTTTACAGTTCATTTCTATTGAAGGACTAAAATAGAAATAAATTGTAAACCATAAGAAAAAAAAAGTTATAAATTTTAAATCATAAAGATGAAAATGGTAATGAATTATAAATTGTAGGGATGAAAATTGTAATTTTAAAAACATAAGGATGAAAATAGAAATTGTTAACAAACCATGGGGATTAAAAATGTAATTTACTTTTAAATAAATGACAATTTTACCATGGGAACTATATCTCCGACTTATAATTAAAGGTAGAACTAAAACACTTGCTTTTGAAAAATGGATATTTATTTTGAAACAAATTAAATATATGAAACCAGTTTTTGGATGGTGATGGAGCAAAGTGCACTTTAATTGGTTCCTATTTAATGCACAATTATGCTTTTTTTTCTTTCTCAACTGGTGTAACAAATATTTAATTATCACTAAATTATAAGCAATATATCGTTTAATTATTGATATATAGATGTCAAGTTATTAAGTTATTACAAGTAACGAGTTTTTGAATAGTGACATGTATTGATCTGACTTAGTAGGAGCAAGATAGATTCTAATTGGTGCACTGTTCTTTTTTGGGGTTGTCATTCATACCCTCTATAAGAGGGGGTATGAATAGAATAGATCATTTTTTTCTTTTCACCACTGCTATTAAGTGCCATTGTTTTCATTGACGGATCCAGAACCTTTGGTGAGAACAATATATACCAGTTAAATTACAATTGTAAAATAAATTGTTTTGAGGTTAACAACCCCCTATTCTAATCCTTACAGAACTAGACTCGAACCATCAAAAGACTAAAACATTGCATGGTGTCCCAAAAATGCTCCCTAAGCTCTTTCTACAAGGACCGGAGACCTGCTTGGCTACCACACCACTAGAATGAGGAACTTAATGAAAATGGGGCTGGAAATCGAGCTAAGAAGAGTTGGAGCTCAGCGCGGGTTATGGCGCGCCTTAAACCGCTCGACCTTCCCACACCACGCACACATACAACCGGGGTGTGCATGCGGCTAAAACCGCATCATACACACATTCTACACTGTTTCCTCACAACGACCCACAGCCAAACAGAGGCTTAGGCGCCTTTGGCACGGGTTTAGTCGCCTAGAAGGGAACCCGACTACCCGAACGGCCTCTAATTCCACAGCGAATCCTGAAACTTTCAAAAAAAGAAAAAACCCGATGTTATTTTGAACACTAAACAAGCACTAAAAACCAACCTTAGAAGCAAAACTTTAGGAGGTTCCAGAATCTTTTTAAAACATAATGTTTCTAAAGTTTTATGGGTGTTACACCATTGAGGTGGGCGGGCGGCCAGGCTTGGACCTCGAAATCAAGATTGATTATAAGAAAGCTCACACCCTGTTACCGAAAGTCTGATTGGTTATCACAGTTACGACTTTTTAAGTTGGACCAGTTAAGATCAGTTAGCAGACATGGTTATGTGGCCAAGTACCAGAATCTTACCGTCTTTTGACCATTTTGCCCTTTTACATGAGTAGAAGCAAGTGTTTGAGTTGATGATGTATCCATATAAATCAAAACTCAAATCAAGCAATCTTTCATGTTCTAAAGCCCGATTTTCTTGCGTTTTAGTTTTTGGCAAATTCAATATTCGATTAGAGTAAACTAAGTATTTTAAAATATGTTACGTCAATAAATGTCTAATAAGTTAATCTGAAACAAAATCTTTAAAAAAAGGATAAACTTTATTTAAAAGACCAGACCTCAACGATTGGTTATAACTGATTAAGAGGTCGTTTACATAAATGCTTACCATTAGGAGTGAGCACTATAATTTATTTTACCGGGTAAGATTGTAGTACATCAAAATGGTATCATATACAACAATTTACCCGGTAAGCACTTACCCGGGTAAGAGTCGTCACCCTCACTTACCGAGTAAGACTCTCCATCTTTATCATTGCTATTACCGGGTAAGATTTTTGACCATTGCCATGTTCATCCGCTAAATTTTTTTACCTAATAAGCACTTACCGGATAAGCGTTTAGTAAATGACTCATAAGATAAGATTTTTTTCGAGAGGAACTTGTTACCTTTAGGACATATTACATGATGACCGGCCCCATTTACCATAGGTTAAAGGCACAATGCAAAGTCTTAACCATGATATTTCAATGAATATAATTTAGGGACCGTAATTGAAATTCTTGAAACATAAAGGACTATATATGTACCATTTACAAAATGAAAAACTGAAATAAACATAATATTTCTATGAAGGCCAGTCCTCTTGTAAAACTGTAAAACACAAATTGGGAAGAAAAAGAAAAATTAGGGCTCGGAGGACGGAAAATGGACGATATGGCAGCTTACTACCCACCATCGCCGGGACTTCACACCACCCAATACTCCTACTATCAACGTCCTCCTCCCGGAGCGGCGCAACCTCCTCCTGCCGCCGTTCCTCAATTACAACACCAGTACCACCACCCTCACCAGCCGCCCCCTTTCACTTATTGTGCACCACCATTGTATACGCCGTCGTTTCAAGATGAGGTTCGAACGCTATTCATTGCGGGACTTCCCGAGGACGTCAAGCCTCGTGAGATTTATAATCTTTTTCGTGAGTTCCCGGGATATGAATCTTGTCACCTTCGTAGCCCCAGTGCAACACAAACACAGGTTTGCATTTTGCTTTAGTTAGTTGCCGGTAAATTGAAAATCGAAAATGCATTGTTGAAACGATTGTTGTTTAATTTTTTTATGTTAAAAGCATTTTTGAAGGTGAAAAACTGGGATCATTGGATGATCAGGTGGAATTTTGTGGGCAATTAGAAAGAAGATATTTTAGAGAACAAAAATGCGAGAGTCGGCTACTACAATTGCATTGTACCCTTATAATTCTTGAACCACCATTTACTATGCGAATCAAATCTTCTTCCAACTTCATATTTGATGTTGATGGGCAGCTTGTTTAAGAGAAAGAATCGATAACTACATTGAACTCCATAAAATTTGTTTTAAATATGCAATGTTGGTTGTAAGGTTGTAACCAATTGCATATTGGTTTTGTATTTGTAAAGTGCTGGCTCTCTTATGAAGATGGAAACTTAATTATTTTGTGAATGGATAGAACATCTTGTTCTCTATCATTCAGATCATATTGGTTGAAAGAAAGACTATGGTTTTGTGTTGGGAATTAAAATCCATTCATCAAACATTCCTTATGTTGAATCTTTTGATCATATTCTGACTGATTCTGCTTTCAACTGGCTAATAAATGTATATGCTTATACGTTCGCTTTTGGGACTTCTATTTTCGTATTTTAGGTAGCTATTATATGCCTCTTTTATTCACTTGCAGTTGTTTTCATATCTCTCTATATTTGTATCGTCTTTAATTCACTATTTGGGTGTTAAACAGCCATTTGGGTTCGCCGTCTTCGTGGATCAACCTTCTGCGCTTGGGGCATTGCATGCTTTAAATGTAAGAATAGCGTAGCCATATGTACCCACCTGACTACTTTTGAATACAAAAAATTATCATGTCCTTACATAAGTTTCTCATTCTGTAACATGCCACATATAGTTTAAGGTGCAGTTTGGTTAAACAAACTATGTGTGTGGAAATATCTTGAGAACTGGGATCTTAACACTAATTGCTTAGCTTATGGGTTGTTTACTATGATGATTACTGTGTGCTAAGATTATATTTGTTAATGTCAGCCACTACTAGCTATAAAATCCTTAGTGTAAATACGAGCCAAAGTAACAAACTACACATTTTAAGTCCTAAGTACAACCAGCTTTGAGTTTTCAGTTTGTTTTTTTTTCTATATAAAACATATTTCAACATTTAGTTATGAAGTTGAAAAGAACTAACTTCTGTTCTCGGTTAAGCAATCTTAATGACTACCAGAGCTATCCCAATCTTTTTGGAGCCCCTGTTACATCCGTACTAGAACTATAGATGGTTTGAAATAAGTAGTAACAATACTAAATTTAATATCATATTAAAAATCTTATAAATTAAAACAACAAAAATGTTTAAAATAACAAAGTGAGAAGAATATCAAAGAGTCGTTTTTTGTTTCTGATCGACAAATTCTGAAATTAAATAGCCGCTTTTGATTTTGAAAGAAAATTTGATAGATCTATATGGAAGTGAGTTATATAAATCCGAGCCCCAAGCGTGAGTAAAGTTGGGGCCCCGTTCAAACCAAGATTTAACATGCTAATAGACGGCCCTGATGAAAACCAAAACAGGGATTGTTGCATAATAGTTCTTTTTCTATGGGATTGTTGCATAATGTGAAATAATCTTCTTGTTTGTCTTCTCCCCTCCATCCAAAATAAAGGTGCCCTTTGTATAGAAGATAGAAAAAGAAAATGTAAGCATTTTGTTGTGTAAATCGTCGTAGTTGCTATTAGTTTATTTCACTGAACATCTAAATGACTGCACCTTGATAAACTTTTTAGAAAGACATTCTTGTGTAACTCATTTGTTGAAAAACATGTCTTTAGTGGAACTCATTTGAATAGCTAAGATCATGATTATGATTAGTATTGAGTGGATGCGGGATCATTATCTTTTCATTCTTGTGTAATATGAATATTAATTTCCAACAACTGAGCAAAAAAAAAAAGAGTAATCGACTTTTTTTGTGTGTGTGGGGGGATAAAGGGGATGCTTAATGGGAATCAAAATGTTCTATAGAACCTTAAATAGATAGTTCATAAATTCTGCTGTGAGCTCTTTAATAATGCCGTCTTTATGTTGTGGCCTTTAGATGCTGACCTTTTTTCTCTTATGAGGAAAGTTAGCATACTGAAAATTGAATGCACATGCTCCTAGGGTTGTAAGTCAGCTGCAAAGTGAAATGTTAAGAGCTCTTCTTACTATGGTTCTTTTGGTTTGCAGGGGTTGGTGTTTGACCTTGAGAAGGGTTCAACGTTATATATTGATCTTGCAAAATCAAATTCAAGGTCTAAGCGCCCAAGAATAGGTATACTGTTAGTTATTTTCTGTTCTTCAATCTGGTTGCTATATACGGCCCACCTTTCGTGACCTTTTTGGCTAACTTATATGTTTAAACCTGGCTAACTGTAATAACTAGATGATGAAAGGCATGGATCTGACAAGAGGGCAAAAGGATCTGCTGCATTTTCTAGAGGCATTTCTGATCCTGGTGAGAAACTAGTGTTAATTGCTCAAAAATGTGCACCAAAGAGACATACAAGGACCAGTTTACACAGTTTTCTAGTTTTATTGCTGTTGTTCTCTCTTATCCAGCTTTTTTTAGCATATATGTTTTTCTCCCCTTCACACACATTTCATTGGCAGGGTCGTCACAGAAAAGCGGCTCTGCAATTTAGGGTAGAGGTCAGGACTCAGGTTTGCGTACATCCCCCCTGCCTCCTGGGGACCCCACCTCCGGGTGGGATATATTGGGCTCGTTTTGGTTTTGGTCTTGGTTTTGGCCTCTCACCTACTTGCCCCCCATCAATGTTCACACACAACACAAACACGTAGATGATGTAAACTTGCTACTTCTTTAAGTTGTTGGTCATGCAGTGGCTTTTCTGATATCTATGATGGGACATAGCCAGTAAGGGGTGAAACACGTTATTCTAGAAGCTCACATTGCACATGTTTTGCACGCTTGGGCACTAGCAGGTGTTGGCAGCGTTCACATGCCTGGATTGAGTAATTCTGCCTACAACATGATTGGTTATCCATCTGCACAAAGGTCGTATGCAGTGCTTAAGCACAATTTCTTTACTTCGATTGGAAGAAATTTTTACTGTAACTTGCACATGTTTCTTACATGATTGCCTGTTGCTGAAGGGTTAAAAGGGCTGGAAAAAGGACACATATGAAATGCGTTATTGGATGAAGCCCTTATAGCAACTCTTCTAAAATGATACTTGTCTTTTTTAATTGTTCAGTCATGGAAGCTTTGATGGTAGAGCTGAGAACACCGATGCAAGATTGGTACGTTCTTTTATGTTTTCTTTATATTTATAAGTAGTAATCGATTTTTTAAGTCATGAAGTTCCTAAAGGAAATTATTAAATATGCAAGTTTGTTAAACTATTTGTGATAAGACTGGAACGTCTATCACAAACTTGTATTATTGGCCTATCAGTGTGCTAGTTACTTTCTGTAGAGGAACACAATGCTTAACAAATGAGTTAAGAAGCTCTTTGTAAGGCTACAGGGTAGTGTAGGTGATGCACAATGTGATCTAACTTTTGAATAATACTCCGTCCCAAATCAAATGTCCACTATGAAAAAAGGCACATAGTTGTAAAAATGTGTAATTGCTACCTATATTATGTGAGGCCTATGATGTACACCGGGAAAATCAAAAGGATACCGAATGCTTCTCACTAATTGAATGCTTACAAAGGGTTTTCTGGCTTTCGAGAGGCAATAATATCTCCAAAGGACTCACCCCCAAAAAGTGTTTATAATACATAGCTTATCCCCACGCCTACTCACACCTATTTAACAGACTCTGAAAGCCACTTTTTCCTTTCTACCCTTGTAACAGAATACTCCTACTTCCAATATTGCCCTTATCAAGACTACTCCCCATTCTACTCCTTTACTCCTAGAAAATGTAACTAATAATAACTTCTAGGGTATAACAGCCTGTATCTCTCAAACCACTCGCTCCAACTGCAGGCTACTATATCATCAATAAAGACACTGAATGGATAGCTTGTATAGCATCAAAACAAAGATGCTCTAATGTCATCGTTTTGGAACTCATTTAACTTGCTGTTTTACCTTTAGAATGGACAACACAATGTCATTATGTCAATTACTTGTATTTGTGTACCATGCTTGTCCACACACACACACAATATACAGTTACCATCTGCTATCATGGCTAATTTGACTATTTATGTGCATGATTAGAGAAACTCATCAGCTCCCGCATGTCCAACAATATTTGTGGCGAATCTTGGACCAGCTTGTACAGAACAAGAGCTAACTCAAGTATTTTCAAGGTTTCAGAAGCTTTTGCTTTGCTGGTTATTTTAGAATCAAGTATGGAGCTTGGCACAACTTTCACTTGTTACTGTCATTGTCAATTTGCAGATGCCGTGGATTTCTGAAATTAAAGATGCAGAGTACATATGGGACACCAGTGGCATTCGTAGACTTTGTGGTACGTTTCTGTACATTTAAACTCATTTGTTTTGGACTGTTTGGTGAATCTTCGTTTATGCCTTGGTGAATCTTCATAGTATTGGAAGAAATTTCTTTTGATTGTTTTGTTCTTTCTTTCTGGGACAAAACCCAACACTTATGAAAGATATAATATTCTTGTTCCAAATTTAACTAAAATCCAGTAAATGAAATTCAAGAAATAGAAATTTAGCGTTCTTTTTCATATTTCACCCAACTCGCACCTTGTTCTGAATGTGGCTCTGGCACTCCTAACTCATATCTAGGTGCTTCGTGATATGCTTGTTAATGAGTTGGATCTTGATTCGGATCAAGTCTGATCTATTTATATGATTTAATAGATAAAAAAACTTGATCCAACGAATCGACCCGTTTAGGTGGATCAATCCATGATCAGTCTGCTTGGTCTTTCTAAATATTAATAATATTTTTTTCTCTCTTTATCATATGTATTATTAACCATACATTTTATAACTATTCATTACTTTTCTTACTTTAAACACCCTCTCCCTACCCCCACCCCCACCCCCCACCCTAAAAAACATTGCCCCCTCTAAAATAAAGCCTTTCTCATTATTCTCATCTCTCTTTCATTCCTTTTTTAATAATATATTATTTGCTTTTTGTTTTTTATTCTAAATTATTTATTTGATACATCATATTTGATGATTAATTCTTTTAAACTTAACCATATTATTATGAAAAGTGAAGACTTATCTTTTAATGAGTTGTTTTATGATGACATTATTTAAACATAAGTACTTTTTTAAGACATTTTTTTGACAATGAATTTCTAGCTTAACATTTTTATAACGATAAACTTTTTAAAAATATTTTCTATATTCAAAAATTTTTAAGCTGACTTGTTCTATAACATCAAATCTTGTGAAAAGAAGTGGCAACCCTTTTACATCACATATTCTAGAACATGAAAAAATGTATCATGTTAAGTTTGATTGATTTATGATATCAAAATTTTAAAATGTCACCGATCAATTCAATAAAAGGCATTAAGCCGACATAGCCTGAAGATATGATGTCCTTATCCTGTTGCTGCTTTCATAGAAGAATTAAAGAGGATATAGTGACGGGGGGGTGGAGCGGATTGGGTTGACGGGGGTGGGGCTGCATCCGGTTATGGGGTGTTTTTTGTGGAAGAGGGGGAGGGGGAGAGCAAATAAAAAGTAAATGGGTCGATTTGGGTCACGATTCATCTATTCATATTAGTTGGGTCATGGATCAGTTCAAGATACATCAGATAATGGGTCAGATCAGGATCCATTTAGTTGGATTATGAATCATGTACAAACTTGTATGCAAATATGCATTATCCCGAAGTCGTAGATTTGGCAATAATATGGATATTGTACATGACCGTATGTTGCAGGATACTGCGTGTTCAACTGAAGCACTAAATCATCTACAAGGCACTGTTCTTTACTCATCAGTATCCGGTGAAGGAATGCGGCTAGAGTATCCTTTAAATCTGCACTTGCATTCTTTCTTGACCCTTTCTTTGTTCGTTTATATCATTCCCAGAAAATATTACTTCGTCCATCCCAAAATAAGTGTCTACTTTCAAAAGTAAGTACCTACTTTCCAATTCTACTCTTAATTACGAGATGGAGAAATTCATTACTCTCTATCAAGGGTAAAATTGTCATTTTGGTTAATTAAAAAGTGCAATAATTACACATTTTGTCTTTTTCACTGTGGACATATATTTTGGGATGGAGGGTGCAAGTAGTTCTTGGGTTCCACATGATCATTTGATGTATAGCTTTACGGTTCTTGGGACAGAACATAACCGAGTGGGACAAAAATGTACTTTTTTTGTCCCACTAGAACAAAAACTAGGGAGATGGGCATCTCCGAAGATTGGTAAATTATTAAACTACCCATGTCAAATTAAAATCAGGAAGCCTTACGTAGTTCTTTCATCCGCCTACCTCACTCTCGTGTATCTAGTTTAGTCTATGTACCAAACACTCCCTGAAGGATCAAAAAACATTTTCCCAACTTTTAACCCTGCTCTTCTTTATTGGCAATTTGTGTATTATATTCTCGTTAACCATAAAATTTAGGTATGCTAAGTCGAGGATGGGAATGCGGAGTAAGAAGTCGAGATAAAAGTGGAAATTACAAATTTGACCTTGCCATTTAAGGTAAGGGATAAAGTAGAATTACACTCTGCACTGTGAGGCTGCATTTTTTACTTCATATTTCATTTTGATATATAAAGAATGAATGTCGTACTCTCTTGTATTCTTTTTTTTTTTTACTTCATAAATGTTGCAATTGATGTTTAATCTTTTTCTTGGTTCGTCGCTATTCTTCTTAAGCGCATCCCACAAGACCACGAGCTTGCTGGTATGCGGTCAGGGGCGGATTCAGTAATTGCCTAGAGGTGGTTTGTGCCTCCGCTCTATCGTACTGATCCAATGGAAAAATATTTAGGGGCGGTCTTAAAGGTACTTCAAACCAAACATAGGATTTCAATAAAATCCTGGGATTTCAAATTCGAGCGTTCCTTCAAACCAAACATAGGATTGGAATGAAATTCAATTCCAGATCCTATCAAATCCCGCAAACCAAACAGGGTGTTAGGATGTCTGGTTTATATGGCAAATTTGAAAACAACTGCTCTACCATTTAGGGTCGATGACGTGTATGTATACATCCTAACTCCATACATGCTCTCTGGTGTGGTATATTGGGTTGGTTATGTAAAAAGCCATGAAAGTGTTAGGGTTTGGTTTATACATTGGATTTTGTTGTTGGTGTGAAAGTGAAGGTGAAGGTGAAGGTGAAGGTGAAGGTGAAGGTGAAGGTGAAGGTGAAGGTGAAAGTGAAAGGGAAAAGGGAAAGTGAAAGTCTTGGTGGTTGGCTGATAATTTAGGACCTTTGCTGAGGCTGCTTGTGCTTTTTTTTTTTTTTTTCTGATTATTATATGTTATTTGGATTGTACAGATTAAAGTAATTGTCTTGATTTAATTATCAAAAGGAAAAGGTGATTCATCTTCTAGGAAATAAAGTCATTATTGTAATAATTAGTTGTGTTAATGAGTTGGATTGAGTAGCCAAGTGTTTTAGATATCGTTTACTAAACGCTTATCCAATAAGTGTTTACCAGGTCATTTACCTTATTGGGTAAACGTAACAAGTGTTAAAAATCTTATCAATAAAAGAGGTATAAGGATGGAGAGTCTTGCTGGTAAGTGTTTACCGGTAGATTGTTGCATATGATACCATCTCCATGTACTATAATCCTACTTGGTAAAGTAAGTTAGCGGTTATTTACCAAGTGCTTACCTGAGTAAGTGCTTATTGGTAAATTCAAGATTATCACTTACTTATCGGGTAAGATTTTGATCTACCAAAATTGTATCATATACAACAATTTACATGGTAAGTACCAACTGTGGTAAGGGTTGTCGCTCTCTCTTATCGGGTAAGACTTTCGGTTCTTGTCTTTGCACTTACTGGGTAAGATACTTGATCCTTGCTTTATTCATTTGGTAAGGTAATGTTACTTGGTAAACGTTTACCCGAGTAAGCCTGGGTTAAAGCCCCCTTAGGCTTGACTTTATATAATAACATTCCCTCCATCCTTAAAAGTAAATGTCTATGATAAAAATGATACAGTTTTAGAAATGTGTAATTATTACACTTTAAATAACACTTTAACCTTAATAATAGAGAGAGAAACTTTTTCCATCTTGTAATCAAGGGTAAAGTAGAAACTTAATTTTGAAAGTATGACCCTTATTTTGGAACGTACTAAAATAGAAATGTGGATATTTAATTTCGGACAGAAGAAATATTATGTTTTAAGAGCATCTTCAAAAGATATGCTATATTTTATCTATCATTTTCTAAATCTTGGGAGATTTCTTCATTCTCTCCCCTTTTTTTCTTTATTTTAGATAAAACTTTAAAAAAGCTGTTGGAACAAATTTTTTAAATCTTCAAAATTTCGAAAATAATATAGATGTTCAACTCGAACACAACCATAAAATAATTGGGATAAATGTGAAATTGTCAAAAAATAATAATTATTTGATTGCTTAATTATGATTAGTTTTTAATTCAGGCAATAATTACTGCAAGATATTTGTAAGTTTGATTTTAGCCTACATTTTATAATTCAATCTTGGATTAAAAATAAAAAAAGACAGTGTACACACATACATATATACATAGACTTGAAATCATGTGAGACCAAAGGTTTTTTGTGAGACCTGTAAGACCAATTCTCAACCTTTGGATTAGATCTACAATCTGACAATTTGAACATTCATAAACGCCACGAGATTTCTCAATAATCACAAAATTGCCACCGTACAACTTTAGTCCGTTAGATCATTAGCTTATAAAGTTGATCAATGAACATAAATTGGTCTTACGGGTCTCATAAAAAATCTCTGGTCTCATGTGAACCCAACCCTATATATATATATATATATATATATATATATATATATATATATATATATATATATATACATACATACATACATATATAGAGGAGCGTTCAAATAAAAACTTGCTCCATTTGTGTAAACCGTGTAAACCAATCTCATCCATCCATTTTCTTGATCAATGTCTAAGATTAGTTTACTTTATTTTAGTAAATTAAAAAATAAAAAAAATATTAAAAATTTATTTTATTTCAATACTAAGGGCAAAATTGGTAAACAAAAATAAACCATTTTATAATGAAACCTTTTCACATTGAAACAGTTTCATGAACATTAATTTCATAAAGAACAAAATATAATATGCACCCGTTTCATCATACGTTTATTTCATAAATAACAAAATATATTATGCACATGTTTCATTTTCATCCTACCAACTAAACGGATCAACTTCAATCACAAARCAACATRGATCACCATGAAACTAGATCATGAATCAATTAGAGCATCAACATTTTCACCATCATGAACCTATTTCATTAACATGTAAAATATGTCTAGAAGAAGCAAATAAACCATTTTACAATGAAACATTTTCACATTGAAACAGTTTCATGAACATGGATGATTTTTTATCCTCCAACCTCAAATCAATATTTCATTTCATAAGAAGCTAAAATCTTCATACCACGTTTCCAGATTCATTAAATAACAAAAAATTAAAATCAAGTTTTTAATATTATAATATAATAAAAAATTTAAATGTTACCATTTATATAATTTTCATTATTAAATTTCCTTATTTAATATTTATTAATAATTTCCTTATTTATCAAAAAAAAAATATGAAAAATGATCGAAATACCTTTATTGATTAAATTTAATTAAAAAAATAGAATTTTTCTATTGGTCGAAATTGGTTTACACAGTTTCTTAGAATTGCATGGTTTTTATTTGAACCTGCCCATATATATATATATATATATATATATATATATATATATATAATTTGTATGAACTAAGTCAAAAGAATACTTAAAAAGTTATAAGTGGATAAACATAAAAAAGAATTACAATAAATTAAATAGAAACTACATATCCTTAAAATTAATATGAAGTAATTACGGACAAAATAGAATTAAGAGTAAACTATAAATTTGGTCCCTGGGGTTTGGTAGTTATAACACTTTTGGTTCTTATAGTTTCAAAGTTACAAGAGGATTATTATGGGTTTGTAAAAAACGTTCGAGTTTGGTCCCCTCCTTCTAATGATCATTAGAAGAATCCATTAAGTGAGAGGCATCGACATTTTCCAATTTATTCTCATTTTTCGTTAAAAACTAAAAAATATTTTAATCCATCCATTTATGTCATGCCATGTATCTTTACCTTCTCCAAGAATGTCTCCGCCAAACTCAATCTTTTCTAGGAGTGGCGATAAGGCGAGGTTGGGGATGATGACCAAGGTCTGGATTTATGCTTTATCTTTGAGTCTTCGTCACCAGGGGGAACTTTGGTGATTCTCAGGATTTTCATTTGTGCTTCATCTGTCGATGGTCGAAGATGTCATAGGCAGAAAGGGTTGATCGGAGATGGTTTGCCATAAATGGGTTGTGTAGGTTGTCGGAGCTAATTTTGTTGGTTCCTGTGGGTTCTCAATCTCTGTGTGTGTGTGTCTCATTTCCTTCACCTTCCCTTGGAGATGGTTCATCGGTTTTATGTCTTCATCTAAGTGCAGAGAGGAAGTCTGGATATAGAGGGCAAGCAACGCCATAGATGATAGTGGTGGGATTGTGAGATCAACGAGGAAAGCTTCAATGACGGTGGAGATCGGCCGCCATAGAAGGAGGCTGGAGACGGAGAGCAGAGGCGGTGGTTGTCGTCTTCATCTAGTTTATTTTTTTGAACAAATTAGAGGAAAACGGGAAAAGTCTATAATGCCTCTTACTTAACAACCGTTAGAGGGATGGATCAAATCTAAACATTTTTGCAAACCACACCGGTTTGTAATTTTGAAATTATAGGGACTAAAAGTGTCATAACCACCAAATCACATGGACTAAATTTGTAGTTTACTCTAAAATTGCGGCAGAAAATAAGTTGATTTGATTACTCTCAATTTCTCAACTCCAATAAAGTCAACACCCAACCAACAACATCCATCTTTTTTCCCCCTTTAATTTGATTTTATTATTATTTTTATTGGAAAAATACTCATATTTTTTATGTTAATTATATAATTTTATTACGTAGAAGGATACGGTGGCATGGGCCATCACTTCACGGTTACGCCATTTGAGAAAAGATTTAGGGGCCGTTTACCAAACACTTACCCGATAAACACTTACTGATAAAATTCAATATTATTATTTACTTATCAGGTAAGATTTTAGTCAATAAAAACGACTTTTTATGCAACAATTTACCCGGTAAGAGCTGACTGTGGTAAAAGTCATTACCCTCACTTACCGGGTAAGACTCTCAGTCCTTGCCCCGTTCTTACATGGTAAGATTTTTTGGTCCTTACTATATTCATCCGGTAAGGTAATATAACTTGGTAAGTGCTTACCCAAGTAAGTATTTGATGCTGCCGTATTATTTTCTCAGATGTTATTATATAGTTTTTGAAACTGAAATGTTATCACAAAAAATTTATCAGTCAAAGATGGTAAATTCCTTTGCCTTTGTACAAAAGGCCTGAGTTTGAGTCCAACTACTGTTAAATTTTTTTTTTGTGGCTTAAATATGAGTGTTTTCTATGCAAGGACAAGAAACAGATCAACAGATCTATACTAATATTGTGAAAATTTTCTATAGATATTTTTTTATAGTCAAATTGTTCCACCACTTGAAAAAATTTATGGGTCTGCATCTGTTAATTGAGACAATTTTGTGACTTTTTCACC